CCAATTAAGCCATTGGTTGGTTTGGGCTCAGGAAACGCAAGTGATGTCCACTACTTTCAAGCGCTTTGAGTGCCATTCGCTGTCCTTTAATGACAACAAACTTATATTTCTTGCCATAAATCAAATTAAATCTCATATTCTTAGCGACGGATCGGTTGTCGACAACGATCTCGAAGTCGATGTCGTTGTCATCAAAGAGGGCCACAAATGTCTTCACATCGTTTGACACACCATTCGTGAGTTGAACCATACGTTTGACTCCATTGCTGTCCACTTGTCTTATATTTAAGCTAAAGTCGATCAGCGATTTGTCGGTGATTTCAATGGTGTGGTCAGCGATCACTGCTCTCAACACTACTTTGTCGGACATCGTGTTTATAGACAATAGTTTTGTGTTAAAATCAGTTCAAAATGTTTTGCAAATAACTTAAACTCAATTTGAAAACAACAACACTTTTATGAGTTTTTTAGCAAAGATTTCGCATTATAGTTAAAACAGTGTTAACTTACTTTACAGTTTTATAATAGCATTTTTGCTTTGGTATTAAATGTGATCCTACCGTATGAAATTAGTAATTTCAAATTACAATTAAATGTTTAATACACAGTTTACCGAGTTGCTAATTTATTTAATGTATCATTTTGTACATTAGCAATGTAAATCGTTTGGTGTAAGGTATGTTTTTTATTTTTACAAAGTTTCAATAGATTATATAAATTACCCATCAAATTATATTAGTAATAATAGTTTATTTCAAATAACAAGCAATAAAATACGAGTAATTAAATAATTAAGTTAAAAATAAAATTTTCAACGAGAAAACTATTATGGTTATCAAATAAATATAATTAAATTTGATTAAATTAAACTTGTTGAAAACTTATATAATTGATTATGATGATTAAAAGTATATACAGTATAAAATTATAATAATATAGATTTAATTAAAGGCTCACAAACTTATTGATTTTTACATTATAAATACATAAATTATATTTTATAAATGAATGTTATAAATTATTTTAAATTAAATAAAAAATACTTTAAATTAATTTAAAGATAACGAAATCTTTTTACCTAACAATGCAAACACAATAAATTATGTTTTGTGATGAATTATTTAAATCAATTTTCAATTATAAAGTTAACTTTTATTTAATTTTAAAATATAAAATCATGGATTCCAATATACTGCCCAATAGTTTTTGCATTATTTTGAAATATTAATTTCAAAATTGTTTACATTTATAATATAATAAATTGATCAGTTGAATATATTTTACCACAATTTAATATATTAATTTGTGAATAGCTACTAAACACTTAGACATTATCACATGCAGATTTACACAACTTTTCATTGCTATTTAGCTTATTTATTTTATACGATAATAAAGATATTGCATTATTAATTTTAACTTAAATATAAATTAAATCTATTTTTTGTCAAATATTAAAAATTGTTCCTAGCACATATTGAACTTAAAATAGTTTATCTTAATATATTGCAATTAACACTAATTATATTTTAGATTCTTAAAAACATAATATAATAAAACTGTAGTATAATAACAATATTACCAATCTTATTATAGTAGATTTTGAAATTAATATGTTTTGGCTTGAATACAAGTGAATTACACAAAATTAAATCAAAATTATTATTTCATTTTGCACCTCTCGGGTTACGGATTTAAAAGTGTAAATGGGATGTAAAATGTGGGGGTGTAAATTTATTATATAGTAAATATTAATATAGAGTATTAACACAATATTATGGCAAGTCGAGTGTGCTTATATTAAATCTATGGACAATACTAATCTATTTGTTAAGCATCACCTGAATTGTGGTTAACGTATAGCATCTCTGTGTGATCCTTGTTTTTGTTTATAAAAATTAATACTAATATTTTATAATTATAATATAAAATTTAATTAACACGTACGCCATTCACTCGCCAAAATAAATCATTTTAAATTTAATAAGCACTATTCTAAATATTATTGTAAATGTTTACAGTTTAATTAACAAACCATTGGAATAAATCTACAGAGTTATTATTTTTGTAAAGTTAGTTGCATTTTGTTAAATCTTTTTGTTAGTTTACATATTATTATTATAAAAGTTAGATTATTAAACTGTAAGTAAAATGTATTATTTTATTTTTATATAACTCGTGTTGAAATAGAATTAAAACTGGATCAGTGATGAAAGTGAAATAAATTTATTTAAAACATGTTAATATTTATTGGTTTACATCATTATGACAATTTTATACACTAATATTTTTTAAAATAAAATGTTTCAAATCATTTTAATTATTTGTATTTATTAAATATGAATATTCGTAATAATATTCATCAAAAATTAAGAAATTTAATAAGTAATTTATTTTGTATGATAGATTATAAGAAATAAATCTAATATCAAATATAGTAAAATTAAATCACAAAGTTATAAGAATAATAAGATTAGTGGATCATTAATTGAATAAAAAATAGTGTTAAATGTCAGTGAAATTGATTTTAAAAATAAGCAAAAATACAAAATAGTATTGAATAAAAATTAATTTTACAGAAAAAGGATTAAATACTGAAACATAATTGTCTGTAAAACAAATCAAACGGCGATTACTTTTTAAGTCTGAATTCAATATAAAACGGTTCAATACAATAGCTGTCTTCGGCTTCAAAACTTCCATACGATGTAAAGTATTCGTCAGTTTGACGGCCAAACCCGACGACACCTCTGCGGCCAAACGCCTGTACCGTCGGTGACATCACATCCGGGGCTCTCATATGATTGGGTGGACTCGCCATAGACTGCCTGCCATCGCCGCCGCCAAACACCTCTAACTCCATGTGAAGTGTTTCACCACTTTTGATGCCATAGAGTGTCGTGTAGTGACCAACCGTGCGATCTTCATATAGTCGTCGGGCCGAGTGATGCAGTCTAACACCGCTCGGCCGTAGGCCTACTCTCTCCTGAATAATAAGTTTTATATCATGTATAGTGTTGTGCAAACCGATCGCAAAATCAATTTTCATTCCCCAAATAGATTCGGCCGATAACTGTATGACTGGACCCAACAGTTGGACAATCGGTCCACTCTTTTCCACTTCCAGTTTGAATTGAATGCGCGAACATATCATTTCGGCCTTCGGTCGGTCTATACCAGGCCTGAGCAGTCGGGGTAAACAATTAGTGTAAATATTAGGACTATTAATCATATATACGGTACAGTATTATAGTCTTAGAAAAGGTTTTAGTTGTGTAAATCAATATTTAGACACATAATAAGTTATTGGCAACATTTATGGTGACAATTAGTTGTTTACTCACCACTTGTCAATACCATTGGCCACTAAATCGACCACCAATTGAGCCATCGGTTGGTTTGGGCTCAGGAAACGCAAGTGATGTCCACTACTTTCAAGCGCTTTGAGTGCCATTCGCTGTCCTTTAATGATAACGAACTTATATTTCTTGCCATAAATCAAATTCAATCTCATATTCTTAGCGACAGATCGGTTGTCGACAACGATCTCGAAGTCGATGTCATTGTCGTCAAAGAGGGCCACAAATGTCTTCACTTCGTTTGACATCCCATTCGTGAGTTGAACCATACGTTTGACTCCATTGCTGTCCACTTGTCTTATATTTAAGCTAAAGTCGATCAGCAATTTGTCGGTGATTTGAATTGTGTGGTCGCCAGCGATCACTGGACTCAACACCACTTTGTCGGACATCGTGTTAAAAGACAATAGTTTTGTGTAAAATCACTTCAAAATTGTTTGCAAATAAGGAAAACTCAATTTGAAAACAACAACACTTTTATGAGTGTTTTAGCAAACGTTTCGTATTATAGTTAAAACAGTGTTAACTTAGTTTACAGTTTTATAATAGCATTTTTGCTTTGGTATTAAATGTGATCCTACCGTATAAAATTAGTAATTTCAAATTACAATTAAATGTTTAATATACAGTTTACCGAGTTGCTAATTTATTTAATGTATCATTTTGTACATTAGCAATATAAATCGTTTGGTGCAAGGTATGTTTTTTATTTTTACAAAGTTTCAATAGGTCATATAAATTACCCATCAAATTAAACTTTTGTCTTGTTACTTTTGTCCGAGTACTTTTGTCCGGGTACTTTTGTCCGGGTACTTTTGGCCTGGTACTTTTGTCTTGGTACTTTTGTCCGAGTACTTTTGTCCGATTACTTTCTAAGTCTGAATTCAATATAAAACGGTTCAATACAATAGCTGTCGTCGGCATCAAAAGCTCCATACGATGTAAAGTATTCGTCAGTTTGACTTATTATGTGTCTAAATATTGATTTACACAACTAAAACCTTTTCTAAGACTATAATACTGTACCGTATATATGATTAATAGTCCTAATATTTACACTAATTGTTTACCCCGACTGCTCAGGCCTGGTACTTTTGTCTTGGTACTTTTGTCCGGGTACTTTTGTCCAGGTACTTTTGTCTCGGTACTTTTGGTCTGGTACTTTTGTCCGGGTACTTTTGTCCGGGTACTTTTGTCTCGGTACTTTTGTCCTGGTACTTTTGTCTCGGTACTTTTGTCCTGGTACTTTTGTCTCGGTACTTTTGTCTTGGTACTTTTGTCCGAGTACTTTTGTCTTGGTACTTTTGTGATTTTAATAATTGTATTAAATTATAATCAATTAAATAAATATAATTAAATTAGATGAAAACCCATATAATTTATGAAAGTGATTGAAATTTTATTATTTAATATTATAATCAAAGGTGAGTCTCAATGTCCTCGCCGTCGATTTGTGTTGCATTAAATCTCATAAAATGTGATTCTTTAGCCATATTTAGTAAACGATTAAACATATGTCGGCCAGTCTTGCGGCACATGTCATACAACTGTCCCTTTTGTTGCAGTAAAACAAACGGTTCGCCAAACTCTATGATCTCTCCCGCGTCTAACACCTGATGGCATCAAATCATACATTATTTAGATTTAATTATTTATAAATTAATTAATCGTTAATTTAGACTAAAAAACAGACCAAAACGCGATCGCAATCTATAATAGTGTTGAGTCTGTGAGCGATCGTAAGGACAGTACAGTCACTGAATTTGTCACGAATTGTGGTCTGAATTAAGGCATCGGTTTTGTGGTCAACATTAGCGGTCGCCTCGTCCAGCACTAGTACCCTATTGTGGCGCAGTATAGCCCGCGCCAGACATACCAACTGCCGCTGACCTACACTCAGATTAGCGCCCCCTTCGGCCAACTGGGCGTCCAACTGGCCCGGGAGGTCCCCCACCGCCCCCTTTAGCTGCACCTCTTCTAAGGCACTCCATATGTATTGATCGCTGTATTCGCCGAAAGGGTCCAAATTTTTTCTGACACTTCCCGTGAAGACCACCGGATCCTGAGGTATGATTGAGATCTTTGACCGCAATTCACGCAAACCTATCCCTCCCACAGACAGGCCGTCCATTATTATATCCCCATTCGGCTCAACCATACGAAACAGCGCCGATATAATGGACGACTTGCCGGCGCCCGTCCGGCCGACGATCCCTACCTTTTCTCCACTCTTTATAACGCAATTCAAGTTCTTGAGCACCGGTTCGTCCGATCCCTTGTAGTATAGGCTCACATCTCTGAACTCTATCCGTCCCTTTTGTGGCCAATCGGCGGGAGGTTTGCGGCTTTCATGCGCTGTGAGGGCCGCCTCTTGCGGTAGTTTTGAGTACTCAATGATGCGCTCGACTGAAGTCATCTGACTCTCCATCTCTGCCGACTTACGGACTCCCCATTCAGTCATTCCCGACAACATTAGGGCTAAATTATTTGATAAATTAATATAATGTTAGATAACAGATGCCTCTATCTTGTCATAAAGACAACATGGTATTTCGGTCATTTCGATATAACTTTTGAACAATTAAGGCAGTTTTAAAACGTTTCGTTTAACTTTCTATGGATTTCCTTGTGGTAAAATAATATGTCATTATAATTGTCTGACAGTGAATTTAATAAAAATTTAAAATTTGTTAAATATTAAATTTTAGAATAAAAATATTGAAAATTTGAAGGCTAACTTTTATGTCTAACATTTTTATATTCTATCTGCAAATATTAATCTACGGGGTTTAACAAAATGTCTAAAAGCTACAATTAAATTTCCAAAAATATTTAAAATCGAAAACAGCGGGATTTTTACGATATTAGTAAACTATCAAGTATCGAAGTTTGAATCAGTTCATTTCTCTCAACGTGTATGATGTTAATCAAACCTGATGATAAAGCGAGTCCCGCATCGCTCGCTCCCAGCTTTTCGGGGAATACCATAAACACCGCGAATATAATTACAATATATAAAAAGCAAAGTCCGTCCATTAGTAAAGCGAATGCAACGCTGGCGGTCAAGTTGAGCATCCAGGTGGCCGAGTGATCATCTTGGTACACGTAACATTGTTTTTCAAACATCTCCTGCGCCCCAAAGGCCCGAACACTGGCCAACCCATTGAGTGTTGTGCTCACGTGTGAATACACTGGACTCCGGGCTATTAGTTATTATAGAAAATTAACATTTCCAACCATTAATTTATACGTATGTTGTTTTTCTATTAAAACTTACTTAAACCTTCGGCACGTTTAATGTCCCTAGCAGACTTCATGTAAATAGTCCTAGCTGCTAAGAGCACTACAATTAAGACAAATGCTGGTATTATTAAGTATGGGCTGACGATCACAATCATGATTATTCCACCGATTCCTTGAGTCAGGGCCTCGTATTATATTATAAACAGAAATAATTAAGTTAGAAACAATTTAAACTTATTTTTATGCAACTAAAAAGGGACCCATTTGGTCCTCAAATGCCCTAGGCCATCTGAAGACTAAATGGGTCTCTTTTAAGTAAATTACCAAATTAAAGCCCCAGGCTGTTTCCGGCAGTTGCTCATCGATTGTACCAAGATCTTTTGAAAAACGATTCAATATCCGACCTAATTGTTATAATTAACATTATTTTTGGTTTATATAATGAATAAAACGACTAACCATCAGGGTTATTTTCAAACACATACATCGGGGCCCGTAATAGACGATAAAACATACTGTTGTGGAGATTAACTGAAGCCCTCATAAACATTACAAACCATGTGATGGCTCTCAATAGGGATGCGATGAACAGCGCAAACATCAGTGAAGTGTAGATAATCATATCTCTGTTTTGATCAGATGTGTTCGTGTTATCCGTGTTTTGATTTTTGTTAGTCCTGTTGTAAAATTAGATATTATTTTTTAAAATTTAAACATGTTAAATAAATTTATCACATATTCACCATCGAGTTAAAAAATAGTCCGATCCGTGATAAATAATTTGAGCGATGATCGTAAATAAAATGGTGTTGAAAAATAGCAATGGTCCGGCGCCTGCTTTAATAAATGTGCTATATACTTTGCCAGATAATGAACCCGTTTCCTTGTATTCGTCAGCGATTTTCGGTTCAGTGTTTTCCACTTCAGTCTTAATCAAAATTAATTTGTATTTATTGATCAAATTATTGAATATAGTTATAAAGTTATATCTTTAGTATAGATATATTGAATACATTACTAGTCACCAAATTGTCGTTCACTGATGTTCTCTGATATTTTATTTTAATGTCATAACCGTTAAGTTGTCTCTCCCTGTCCTCCCCCTCCTCTGCTTTCATGTCTGGCTCTCTCTCCCGATCGCTGAGAATAGACATGAAGTCTAAGCCCCGGGACTGGAGCTCATCATAGAATCCCAATCCCAGACACTTTCCCTCGTCGTTCAAAACCAATATTTGTGTCGCTTTTCGTATGAATTGGATTTGATGTGTGACTAAAATACGGATTTTGTCGCACAAGTAGTCGACTATACATCTGGTGTTCATTATATCGCAAATACATTATATGTTAAACTTATTTATAATAATATACAGAAAAACCTTGTATCTTGAAATGGTCGGGTCCTGACAAATGACTTCAAGATAGAAGGATTTCAAGTTAGAAAAATTCAAGTTACAATGTTTGAAATGGGTTAATTTTCAAGTTAGGAGTTTATTGTTTATGTTAGATGTAAAAATAGCGAAAATATATTAATAATTTCTCATTTTTTGAATTATATATTTGTTTTTCGCTTGTATTTCATTGTGACATTCCATTGAAGAGCGCAAATATATCCAAACAGACAAACCGTTTTGTATGGCATTCATTCAGACTTTATTTATAGCCATTTAAGTCTTTGATGTCAACCTTTTCTGATACAGAAAAACCTTGTATCTTGAAATGGTCGGGTCCTGACAAATGACTTCAAGATAGAAGGATTTCAAGTTAGAAAAATTCAAGTTACAATGTTTGAAATGGGTTAATTTTCAAGTTAGGAGTTTATTGTTTATGTTAGATGTAAAAATAGCGAAAATATATTAATAATTTCTTATTTTTTGAATTATATATTTGTTTTTCGCTTTTATTGTTTATGTTAGATGTAAAAATAGCGAAAATATATTAATAATTTCTCATTTTTTGAATTATATATTTGTTTTTCGCATTTAAACCTAAATATGTCCAGTAATTACGTTGATTATACACATTTAAATGACGTAATTTTTGAAACTTCAAGATAGGAGTATATACAATAGCAATTGAAACCCAGAAAATTACTTCAAGTTACAAGTTAGAAGGTTCAAGATAGGAGGGAATTTAACATTGCGTTTCTATGGAATGAATCGGGTCTCAGTGTTTTGCTTCAAGATAGGTAGAAATTCAAGATGGAAGGCTTCAAGATACAAGGGTTAACTGTATTATAATCATTATTATTATAATCATCAATATTAATAATTATAGCAATCAATGCATTACTTATCAAATATATGTTTGGCAACACTAGTGTCGACAGCACTCAACGGGTCGTCCATTAATATAATGTCTGAGTTTCGATACAACGCTCTATATATGGATACAAATTATTGTAATTGTTTTGTAAATTATAATCCGTAATGAATTGACCCAAACCTGGCTAACCCGATGCGGGCCTTCTGTCCGCCCGACAGCTGTACTCCTCTCTCACCGACTAATGTCTTGTCTCCGAACGGGAATCTCTCAAAGTCTCGCTCCAAAGCGCACACCTCT